TATTCCTTTTTCACTCTCAAAATTCAGAAGAGGCAGGTTGGTTTCCAAAGCTAAAACAGAAAAGGTTCGAAGATTACGTTGATCTTAGGCGAAGAGGCACGGTTGAAAGGCAAAGAAGTGCACATGTTTGCTGAAGGCATTACAAAAAAGTCAATATAAGTTGGTTCAATTCGTAAGAACAAATCACTTTCTCAAAAAAAAATCGCGTGTTCGAATCTCATTGTCGATATGAGAATTGTGTTGATGAGTGATCTGTAAGAATTTCTATAAGCTCCTATGATCCCGGAGGTATGTCATGACATGTGGTGCTAATCAGAGTCGAACCCATCCAAACATTTTCCTACCAAAAAGTTCAAAAAACAAAAAAAAAAAAAAGTATTTGATCACATGTTAAAGTAAATGAGAACAAGCCCCACATACAAAAATGTCCAATTTGAACAAAATTCAACTTTACATCTTGATATGAGCACTAGACTAACATTCACTAAGGCATCATGGCATCAAAAGTTTTCTTTAACCAGTGAAAGACTAAATCAAGGAGGGCTTAACAAGGACACGAGATATTATTAATATGAAAGAAGTTCCTTAACGATCATACTCTTGAAAAACTGCAAAATACTAGTACTATTCTTTAATCTTACGGAGCCGAATGCATAATTATTTGTACAATTGGTATTAATTGTGGAACATAATTGTATTAAAAATTGTAGGAGGTGCTTATCTACATCAATCGTGCTCGCCCACAAAATAATTCATTATGCTATTGTAAGCTTGACCGTGAGTAAATATTTGATTTTGTGATTATTAATGTTCAACTAAGTTTTTGTTGCACTTTATCCAGAGAAAAAACAAAAATGTTTTTAAAAATAAATATGGTTGGCGGAGTCACCTTTAATCCCTTGGTGGTTTACGTTTAACCGCATAAAGTCCTATATGGTTGTCAAATTTACTGTCCCCATTTGGTGAGTAAGACGTGACCAATATATAAATAAACAAGAGAGTAAGGCATACATGTACGTAATCTCCATGCTGTAGAGCCGAAAATCCACCCAATAACAAGAGCATAATTTAGCCCAAAAAAAAAAAGAAAAAACAAGGGCATAATTTCGTTAATCCTATAGAAAAGTTTGAAGACTCACTACACCCTATAGAAAGTTCCATACTTGGCAATAATCACAAATTATTTTAGTCTATATTGATGGAGAGAATCTAAAGTACATTTTTGGGGTTATATGATGTTGGATGGTGAAATAATTATTTTTGAACCTTAGATTTAATAATTTTAAAATTTAAATTGCTATCATCATTGAGAGATACATATTGAGTGAATGGTGCCCTGAATAGACTAAACAAGTTTTCATATCAATAAACCAAAGGCAACGCAAACAAAACATAGCTCCGTGATGAAACTCAGAAAAGGATAATCTATGCAGGTTGATGGTTGCGCGAAAAATAAAATCAAACAATTGAATTGGAAAGAAGTTGACAAATAATTAATATGCTTAAAATTGAGGGAAAACAAAGTTCAGCCACCAATTACGTCAAAGGTAAAATATAAAGGACTAAGCTATAATGATTAGAAAATATAAAGTTGAAAATATGTCGGAAGTAAATGGACAGGGAAAAAAATATTGGTGTTCTTATTGGACCAAAAAGTGAAGTGGGGTTTTGAATTTTCGGCTTATATCTAAACAGAGGCAAATTTCTCAAAAGAATTATGAAAAAAAATACAAAATTAGGAGTTTTTAGATCCCTTTCTAAAGCTAGGGTCACCGCACATGCAATATGCAATGATCGGAGAAACTTATATATATTTTTAAAACAATGTCTTTGCACATGATGAAAAAAATACAAAATTAGGAGTTTTTAGATCCCTTTCTAAAGCTAGGGTTGCTGCACATGCAATATGCAATGATTGGAGAAACTTATATATTTTTTTAAAACAATGTCTTCGCACATGATGAAAAAAATACAAAATTAGGAGTTTTTAGATCCCTTTCTAAATCTAGGGCCGCTGCACATGCAATATGCAGTGATTGGAGAAACTTATATATTTTTTTTAAAAAATGTCGTCGCACATGCATTTTTTGCATTCCAGTCTTTGGGGACTGGAATATAAAATGCAAACATTTTTTTTTTTAAAAGTGATAGTATGTGCAGCTACACTTTGAATATATATATATATATATATATATATATATTTTTTTTTTTTGACTGTGACTATTAGCCAAACTACTTGTTTTACAAAATGTAATGTTTTTTAAGAAAAGATATTAATATAACTGCATATGTGATGTGCGCCTACACTTTGGGTTTTTTTTTTTTTAAGTTTGGTTTACATCTAATAAATACATTATTTGTATATATTTATCTTCTGATTTACTTAACTTTTATTATAGATTTGTCAAATTATAAGTATATTTTCTATGATTTGCAAAACGGTTTGTCTAACGAATGCCTATAGGGCACTTATTAAAATATATTTCAGGTGTTATATTTTTGAAAATATAAGATTAATTAGAAAAAGTAATAAATACAAGGGAGGATAGGTAAGATTAAATAGGAAAAGTATATAAATGCATGGGAGGATAATAATTATTAGTATATCTATATATATGGTAGGTTAGGTGAATACTAGTTGTATTAATGGGGCATCCGTTAGAAAAATTCTTTGCAAAAAAATCATGCTGGAAGTTTGAATTAAGAAGATATGAAGGAAAATCAAGAATATTGCGGTGGAAGAGATATATTAGAAGCACTTAAGATGGAAAGACATTTGCATTTTGGAAATCTTATCAAGTGATTATACATTGACCAAACAACTAATTTTTGGAAAGAAGTTTGGTGGGAATTGAGAGATTTTTCAAATGTCTTGTCCTTATGTCCTTATCTTTTAGCTTTGATAATGGCAGTTTTTTTTACTATAAATAGGGAGCATTAGAATACGCCAAGAGCATCCTATTCATACCTTAGTTATTTTCTTTTTCTTTTTCTCTGCATTTTCTCTAGAAGATGAGTAGCTAAAATTTTTAATTCAGTTCAAGGGAGAAAACTTCCATCTCCATCGTTGGTTGTGAGAAGATACATTCGGTATTTGTAGTTCATTTATATTCAAGTATTTGTTTCTCCTTTGTTTTATTTCTTATGTAATTGATTACTATTTCTTGTTTGTTGAAGTAGTTTTAATGATTACATGCATGCCTTCTAGTTCCTTTAAGTCCGTAATTGTTGTTAGGTATCAGAACAAGAAGCAATGTGAGTTAACTTGATTGTCTACCTCTTTCATGTTAATTTTAGCTGTGGTAATCAATGAAAGTAATCGGAAATTGACTACTGATAGATTGAGCACAAAGCTCTTAATAGCATGTTGGAAGAATTATTTGGGAGAAAAATGTTTGTTGGATACATGATTCCTTGTACCATATAAGAACGAGTTTAAGGCGAAAATGGTCTTTGAATTTCAACTGCAAGCGTAAGGTCATTTTAGAATTGTAAGATTTTTTGTCTTGTGGGTACTTCACAGAGTACAATTTATGGTGAGTTCTTTTGCCGTACATTTCCAGAAATGAGGTTGTGCCTTTTAATGGGTATTATGGGAATGTATGATTATTTTGATTGTCTTTTTAGCAGTAGGAACAAGTGATAATAGCCTTTGTGTGGCTGTAATTACCTAAACTTCCTTAATCTCTAATTAAATTGGGGAGAATGTGGTTTAGTAGGTAATTAGTTACATGAATTAAAAAGGGAGGGGTATTTTGGAAATGTAAGTTTGTTGTAGTGGTCTTTTTAGTTGTTGGTACAACTCCATGCGGAATAGACCAACATTTGAAATAAGATTTGCCAATCCAGCATTCCCCCATAGCCTATATCTTCGTGTTTGAGATTCCAGTCCGCCGATTCCACTAGTTACACACTATTTATAAGCTGTTCGGAATGAATCTAGCCAGACACTTAGAATAAATGAACCTAGACTAATATTATATAAGGTAAGATCCTAATTGATATTAATGGACACTAGTTGATACAACAAAATATTTTATTTGCATTAACGGTTACATAGACCATTTTCTGTTAAATTTCTAGTTTACAAGGAACTATATTTTGAAATGGATATTTTGAAACATTAAAATGTTTATATGGCAATAGATGAAATCAAAGATGGATTATTAGTAATTTACCCTATATTTATTATAGATTTTGGTAAGCGGAAGACTGTAATATGGCCGAATCTCACGTTTTTTAATAAACCTCAATGAAGAGAAATGATATTACTTAACTCCAATACTCATATGATATTGTTTTGGTGGACAATCCGGAGTTTCGAATAATCATCAAACTTTGAGAGCTCCAACCCACTCTAGGTAGGGGTGCAATTTAATTGAGCAACTTAACTTGAACTCACGAGTAGCTCGATCAACCTCTTGACTCGAGCTCGGTTAATGTTGAGTTCGAGTCGAGTTTGAGCTACTTGATTGAGGTTTCGAGTCAAACTCGAATATATATATCATATACTTGAGAGCTCGTTGAGTTCTATCGAGTACTTGGTATAATATTTAATTAATATATTATAAATAATTAAATTACCTTTTTAGGTTGTCATTTACGATATTTACGATCCTATCCATTTGTCGAGCTCAAGTAGTCGAACTCGATATCGAGCTCGCCAACTTCTTGCTCTATTGAGTCAAGTTCGAGCCTCTTAGTATCACATCGAATCGAGCTCGAGCTTTGTTCAAATAACTCGCTTGAGTTCGACTTTGAATACTGCTACAAGGTATCGAGTTCGAGGTCAAGTATGATAATGTTCAATCTTGACTCAACTTGATATCACTCCTAATCTAGGGTGCATAAACGGAGTTTTTCTTTTTCGGGTGGGTTGCAGCTGAGGTGGATGAAATGGATCATCCAGCAGGATAACTGTCGGGTCGGGTCGGGTGCCTAAGAATCCCATATGCCTTTTGCTCATAATTATCCTCTTACTAGTTCGTTTTGCTGTTTTTTTTTGGGCGATTTTGCTTTGGAAAAATTCAACTGTAAGTTTCCAAGATGTTCTTTTTTTTTTACTTTCAATTATTCAGTTTATGATTACTGAAACTTCAAAAGGCGCCTTTTTCTTCAATTGTTTGTGCAGAAAATGCTGATTCTGGAATTTGAAAATCTTAAATTGATTTGGGATGGAGTTAGATAAATGTTTAGGGGAATTATCCTCCCCAAAAAACCCAAAAAAGGATTGAATATTTGTTTACTGGATCAAGAAGTCTTGAATGATATCCTTGCTCACAATATGCAATTAACCTTGTTTGCTGCCAAAAAAAAAGGAAAAAAATGGATTTGAATCTTTATTTTTTTCTTGATTGATATCTTTGCTCATCATTTTGCAATTTTTTCCCCGGCAGAAATAAAAAGCCATGATTGTTGTTTCAAACTTGTGCTTATCTATCAAATACTAATATAACAAAATAACTTTTATGTTTTAATAGCGGTGCATTGGAGTCTATCAAATACTTTTATGTTTTAATGGCGGTGCATTAGAGTCTATAGCCGCTTTAGTTTCCAGTCATGGCAAACCAATGTTATCCTTGTCTACACACCATTTACGTTATTATTCTTGTCCACTGAAGATTTTCTGTGGATCTTAAGCAAAGAGGCACTGCAGAAAATGCAAGAATGGGATTTTTTTTTGCAAAGGTAGACCCCAAGGTTCAAGCCTTATAAGGGGGAACGAGGAGAGAACAGGGTTTGAGAGTCGAATATAGCTTTTGCTTATACACATAAATGCCTTGTTCCATTTGTTGATAGACAGCCTTTTACTTCATTTTTTTTGGCCTCTCCCTCTCTGTTTAATGATTTGGCTTTGGACTTTGTCAGCTGGAAGTTTCTGGGATCCTTGGATTTCTGAAAACAGATGAACCCAACATAAAATATTGCTCCAGCTCTCTTTTTTTATTGGTTTTGTTTAAATCCGTTCCTGGATCATCTATTGGAACTTTGAAAATTTGGAATGGATTTGGAATGCATTTGTATTTATTGTTGATGGTGTTGACTTAAATTTTCAAAGTTCAGTTTCCTGTTAATTTTGAGCTTCTTGCACAATATGTTCGTCGTTTACATTTTATGCTGGCAGTTTGCAATGGAGACTTAACTCTAATTATGCTAGTTTCAATTCTCTCCATGTCGTCCGTTTTATTTATTTATTTTTTGTCTTTCTTTTTTTCTCTCCCTTAAGTGTGTTGTTGTTTTACTGATTGGTAACAAGTAATTAGCAGAGAACACCAACTTCAGTTCTTTTGTAATCCAGATGGCAAATGGGGTCAACTATATGCTCAATTCTCTTTCTTTTACCTTCCCCGCACCTAAATATGCTGTAATTTTACTGATTGTTTTATAACCCAGATGGCCATGGAGGTCAGCCATACGCTCAAAAGGTACAACCTCCGTCCTCGTCGTGCTCACAAGAGAGTGGGATGGTGTGCATCAGGTAGCCTTCGACAATGTAAGAGGCATAACCTACGTCCTCGCACTAATGATCAGAAGAAACAGAGGTCTTCTATCCCTTACCTTTCACCAGAAATTGTCTTCAATATTCTCGTCTACCTTCCTGCTGACATACTTTACAATGTGGTGAGGTATGTCTGTCGGGAGTGGTACAAGATAATCTCTAGTCCAACATTTGTTGATGCGCACCTCCAAAAGGTGGACAGGGGCATCCTTATCAGGCAAAGCTATCCAGAATACTATATACATTATGTGGAAATGGTGAAACGTGATCTTGAGGTCATTGAGTTAGACTCTTCTGCTTTGCCAATATATAGTATGAGTAGCTGTAATGGTTTGGTGTTAATGGGTAAAAGTGAAAAGGAAAATCGTTATGTTGCAAATTTGGTTACAAAGGAAGTCGTAAACATCCCTCCTCCTTCAGCTGCAGCCAAGGCAAATATATGTTTTTCGGCTATGGGATATACTTGTTCCAAGAAATATAAACTGGTTGAGTTCTACTATAGTCATCAGTGGACATTAGAAATAGGGATCCTGACACTTGGTGTTGATAAAGAATGGAGGTGTCTTTGTCAACTGGATGGAACTTGGAAATTTGAGAAATTTAGAGGCATTGACTTAATTTTCAAGAAGCCAATTGTGAGTACTGATGGGATTTTGCATTGGCCACATGATCAGCATCCCTTAGTTCTTAATTTAGATCTCGAAACTGAGACTTTCTACATATGTGCTGCTCCACAATGTTCTGAGATGAAAAGAAGGAGATATTTGGGAACTGGGCAGTCACTTTGTTTTATGGATTACTTGGGGAAGTTTTCTTGGGAGCTGTGGTTGCTAAAAGATGCAGAAACTGGAGAATGGACTAAGCTGGCCAATATCGATCTAGGGCCTCACAAGCAAATGCTTCGGCGCAGTTTATGTCCAGGAGGGTTTCAAATTGTGCCTGTTGGTTGGCTGAAAGATGGGGAGATTGTAATCTTCTACGTTGTACATGAAGATGGAATCCCAAATGAAAGGTGCTACCATCATAAGATACATCCGACGAGAAACTGCATTACTTACAATGTGAAGACAGGAGTGATCAAATCATTTCACCTGGAGAAGGGTAGGGTTTTTCAAATGAATGAGACTTGGAGGTATATTCCGCATGCCAAGACCTTGGTTTCTCCAAAATTTCCAGTCAGTTAGTTGCTCTTTTTTTCTATTCAAAAAAGAAAAAAAATGGAAAATCAGTATGAGATGGAAGAAGAGGGAAGAAAGATTGGTTGCAATTAGAATAGGATCATTGTTGTGAGATGAGTCTTTCTTTCCCCCTTAATTGATTGTTGTTGTGTCATGAAGGTTGGATTAATTTCATTGTTCTTTATGGTTGCACTGTGATCGTAAGAGTATTTCACATTTTTGTTTTGCTGGTACTGTGGAATCTACAATTTTCCTTTTTCTTTTGTTTTATGGCAAAGTTGCTTCATTCGGAATATTTTGCTTTACTGCCAGGTAACTTTTGTTTTTCGATGTAATTGCCTTCTTTTTGTTCACTATAGAAATTCTCTCTTTCTTGGATGGTTCCACTTTTCCATGATGATTATAGCTTAGTTTGACATATTTTAACAATTCCGGTCCACCAATCATTGGATGTTCTCTGGAGAATCTTTTCAAGGGAATCATTCACAGGATATACGTCCATTACTAAAGAGTTATTTCTTACAAGTGAAGACCTAACAGTATGATTCATACATATTTGGGAATCATAATAGAAGTACAAGAAGCAGAACTGCAGAAGAAAATCAATCTGAAAAATCACACGTCCATTCAATGATTTGTAGCACCAAGATATGTAAAGCAAATGGTATAATTTGCATTTTCTGATCAGTGCACACTTTTTCTTGTGCATGAACGGTATAATACAAAGCGCAATCTGAAGTACATCGAGGGAAAGTGGGATTCAAGTAATCTTGCTTATCAACAACCCCCTGCCCCCAACCCAACAAAAAAAGGGGGAAGAAATGTGACATTCAAATCCGTGCAGTTTATTGCTGCCTGTATGTATAGGTAGAAACTCTAGAAGGAAACATTTGTTTTTCAGGTATAGGTAGAATCCCTAATTTTCAGGTATAAGATATACTTCTTCCATGAAATATAAACTGGTTGAATTCTACGTTCTTTGTGATAGGACATTGGAAGGTGGGATACTGATTCTTGTTATTGATAATGAAGGGAGATGCCTTTGTCAACTGAATGAAACAAGGAAATTTATGGAATGCTGCAGCAATTTCTCAACCCAGCCAAGTGCTAGCCATGGTTTTTTGCATTGGACGCATAAAACTCTTCCTTCGGTTCTTACTTTAGATCTTCAAACTGAAACATTATTCTGAGATGTAAAACAGGACATATTATTTAGTAACTGCGAATTCGCTATGTTTTATGGATTTCTTTCCAACAATAGAGAGGAAGAAATTTTACACCTAATCCTCAACCCAACTCAAAAGGCAATTGCTGACTTTCAAGGTGGACCAAGGGACTTAAACTCTCATCACTCAACCCTCTCTGGACCGATGTTTTATGGATTTCTTGGGGAAGTTTTTATGGGAGTTTTTGGTGCCACAAAACGCAGATTTTGGAGAATGGACTAAGCTAATTAACCACTATTAGTTTAGGAATTCTTGAACACATGCATGGAGGCTGGAGCTACAGCTGATCTCAGAACATCAAAATCCAGATATCATCAGGATTCTGAGTACTTGTGGTATTTTTTTAAATTTGGCCAGACTATTAAAATCCCGGATTATAGTTAATAGAGAAGTATCTGGACTTTACGTATCAATAATAGGCAATTCTGCGCTTTAGTAATTGTGGTTTTGATAGAATTTGGCGCCCTAACTCGGAAGGGATGATTAAGAATAGGCACTTTTTTGGAAGTAGCAAACTTATAGGATTTTTATTGGACTAATGAATCAAAGACTGGAGCATAGGATTTTGAAAGTTCTCAGCAGTATGCGATATTGGAAGTTTAGCTAGATCGCAATGGGAAATTCGTGGAAGAGAAAAAGGTTTATAGGTGAAATATTTTTAGCACAATTGTGGGATTAATACAATAAATTAATTACAGGTTAATCAAATTACAACAATCTCTACAATTTTAAGGCAAATAATGAAACTTATGAATCGTAAGATTTGAATTCAAGGGCTCTGAATCCTAGAAACTCAACTTTATGGTTTCAATTTTCTGTGAATGTACATAAATCAAAGTCATATATAGGTCTATAATCTATACAAATCAAAGTCATAAGACTCTAGTTATGACAATAATGATTATCATTATGGTCGGTTCCTAAAGCTTGTTTTACTCGACATTAAAAATTTCTTAAGCTACTTCGGCAGTTCTCAGAATTTGAGCTTTGTTTTCTTGTGGAAACAAAGGGGACCTAGAAGAACCAATTCTTGGTTGATGGACATATTTTCTAGGTATAGAGAATTCCATGGCTACAATCAAAAGAGTCCCGTGGCTGCTGTGGTCTTTTCCTTTCAGCCCGTAATTGTTGTTAGGTATTAGAACAAATCATGCATACACAAACAAGAGGAGTAATACATTCATCAAAACAGTTTCTCCATTAATATTACACAAAACAGATATTTACATAAGCCATACTCCAGATTCTTCAGATATATATTGCCTCCAGGCTCCAGAGACAAGATAATTATGACAACAAATACAACAGTAGCAGAGCAGCAGACTATCCATGGACTACCTGACTAATTATTAGCTGTTATTGTTAAAAAGCAGCTGCAGGCCTTACATAAGTGAATCCTTGGAAGGTATTGTTGGCTCATCTTGGACTGGAAGCTGGAGAATCAATCACAGGCAAGTTAGTGCAGCACTCCTGAAAGTTGGTGATGCATTGTTTTCCAGTAATTTGTGGAACAAGACTTGGTTGAATTTCCCGAGCCTCTAACTTCTTCCAGTTGATAGACCTGAACCATTTGTGGCCCTTTATCTCTTCGCTACCTGTCGGCCCGTTTCCAAGGCGTTTGTTTGCATCCTTTTGCAGTAGCCCTTTTAACAGTGAATGTGCATCCCTTGACAGAAAAGGTGGGAGCCTGATTTTATCCTTAAGGATCTTCCCCTGAAGTATGTGTTGGTTTTCACCCATGAAAGGCGGAAATCCTGTTAGCATCTCATACAAGGAAATGCCCAGACTCCACCAGTCAGCAGCTTTGTCATAATATCTCCCAAGAACAACTTCCGGTGCCATGTATTTCGTGGTTCCACAAATAGTGTCAGATCGGGTGTTCTTCTGATCTTCAAATTGCTTTGCCAAGCCAAAATCAGTTAGCATTGCATGTCCCTCTGCATCCAGGAGTACGTTTTCTGGCTTAAGATCCCTGTGCAATATTCCATTAGCATGGAGATAAGACACAGCGGAGACAATCTCAGCTGCGTAGGTTCGAGCTATATCCTCACGGAACAAGCCTTGCCTGCTTAATTGAGAGAAAAGGCTACCACCATTGACAAAATCAAGAACAAGGTATAGTCTATACTTGGTCTGGAAACAGTATCTGAGACGAACTATGAAGGGATGATCGACTTTTGCCAATATATCCCTCTCACTCTTCACATAATCAGCAAGATTGCTTTTTACAATCTTAGCTTTTCGGATGACCTTCATCGCGTAAAAATCTGATGTACCCACCTTCCTGACTTGATAAATTTTTCCATACGCACCTTCGCCAACAAGCTTTAATACCTCGAAGTCCTCCAGCCCTATTGCAGCACCTTCAACAGTATCTTTCTTCAAGATACCAGTAGTACTCTCAAGAGACAACTTCTCGAGTTTGTCCCTAGGGCCGGAAATCAAATCTGGATCTTCAGAAGATTCGTTTGCATCAGGTGATTGAGTAGGTAGAGGTCCAAACACGTCCGAAAAGTCCATATCAACGTGATCGACATCAAGCGGTCGTTTCGGGAGAGGCACAAGATCCTTTAGCGGCTTCCTTAAGATGTTCCCCATCAATCTGGGAAGATGGCAAGAAACCATGTTTACAAATAATGGTTAGGGAAGGAATAGTGATGCAGCAGAAATTTATACTACTCAACTACAGAAGAAAATCTGAAATGAGGATGGAAGGATGAAAAGATCAAAGGAAAACGAACAATAAGCCCTTGAACCGCAGGGGCTGCTTAGTGGATAATAAGCAAGAAATCCAGGGAAGATGCAGAGATCCTAATGCTAGAAGGAAACTCTTCGTTGTTTCGTTAACATCAAGGCAACAGCAAGAAGAAGACAGCGTCAAGTAGCCGCGGCTCATAACTGACTTTTTTTTTTTACTTTCTAGTAAGGAAAATTTCCAAATTAGTTCTGAGAGTCATTTTACACTTATCAAGTAACAAAACTAACTTTCTTCCTAGCATATCTTCTTTCTATCCTTAATTACTCTTGTTAGAATCCGGATTTGGATTCTTAATTGTATGTAGCTTTGCTTCGTTAATTTAATCCAGAGTTGATAATGCAACACATCAATATGGTATAATAAGGTAACGCACTATCGAAATATTTTGTAATTTAATTAGGATAACTAAGATAATCAATATTTGTGAATTATAAGAACTAGCTAGTGATTGAGACACACTATTTGTGTACAACTACCTAAAATTATAATCATTTGTAAAAATGATTTTCATAGAAAGTGGTTTACATTGCAAAGATTATTTTGTTAAAGACTTTAATGAACATAAAAATGTATAATAGATGGGTATATTTACTTGAGTAGTTACTAATATAATTGATAATTTCTAATAAAACCAAAAAAAATAATTCCTTTATGATTTTGGTTGAACTAGTTTACCCATGCTTAAGAGGGCAGAAGAAATATTTTTAGGCGATATGCCCCTTGTAGTACTTACACAAAAAAAAATTCCAAATCTTCATTAATCTTCACAACTGTAATACAAGTTGTAGTATATATATAACCCCCAAAACTTTTAGTCTTAGACAAGAGTTTTGATTATTAGACCAACTACAAATTGATACCTAGGGTTGACTCAATTATTAAGGTTGGATCACTTCCTCGACCAAGTTCGTGTATTTGAATCTCGTTGCTAGCACTGGAGCTAGAAATACTTCCCAGCGAGGGCACAAACTAATAATTGCAAATATATTTAATCCTTGTAAAACATAACTCTTAATAATGGTTTTCACATGATAAGTAATAACAATATATTCATTTAATAATCATATGTAACATAACTAACACAATTATATATATTCATATTCATAAGCATCTGTTATTTCAAATTCCTCATGACAAACTTCATATTTTTTTGTAACTTTTTATACTTTTCTTTTACTCAAATCCTCAAATTATTTTCTTGTCAATACAATAAAAACAATCATTTATTTAGAAGTCTCCC